GCCAACTTGTAAAATGTGATGAAACTCACTTAACAACACTCTTGCTTAGCAATCAAAATGTTGGTTCAGAAACTCTGGCATTTGAAGCACGCAAGTCTTAAAGCTGTCAAGTTACAAGACCCTTGCACCCCTAATCCTTTTGGGAAAAAAACTCCAAGGGTGTTCAAACTTGACAGATTTAAGGCTTGTGGACTTCAACTCTCAGAATTCCTCCTCTTGCTCTTCATCTTAATGATGTGTGGATGGACAGGGAGAGGGAGCTGGAACCAGTTCTAAATGGCATTGTAGATTTGAGGAACTTCTTCTATAGAAGAGGTTAGAACTGGTAGGAACCCACCCTTGATTGTATTGTATATTTTGTATAATTATTCTGTGCCATACCGGCTGAAGTTTAAGAAGTTGTATTCCAGCATATCAGAAGATGCAACATTGGGGACAGTTCCTGAGTTTTGACCAGCTGTGTCTCTCCAAGAAGTTTTTTGAGTCCAGTATTCTGGATCTTTTATTTGCAGATGGCAGGACTGAACACAGATCCTTTGTTGAGAAATCCTATGTATAATATCAATCAACTGTTGAATATTTGTGGGTTACATATGGGGGAGATACAATGTTTCAATTGTTTTAATTTTCATTCAGTAGTTAAGCTGAATTGTTTCCCATTGTTATTGATACTATATTTTTATTCAATTGATCTGTAAAACACTATATATTATTGCAGTTGGAATAATAAATATGCAATGGAATGTTGGATGACAATTGTGCATGCTCATACTTGTTTAGTGCTTCATTTTTTTAAAAAAAATCTAATAAATTTAATTTTTAAACTCATTTAACAGATATGGGAAACGATCCAGCCCAGAGACACTGATCTCCGATCTTTTGTTGCGAGAAAGTGCAGAAAACATTCCAAGATCTAGGTAATAGAAAAGTAGCTTTCTGTAGTTGTTCTTGTAAGTTGCTTATAACTTAATTTGCACTGTAGAGTATAATATATTTAATTTAAAGCCCAAGTTTTACATGGACAAATCTGGGATTTTACCAGTGTGGAATGTTGATGAGTTTTTGTCACTGAAGGGTGACAAATCTTATTAAGTGTCTGAAAAAAAAAGAAAGGGAAAAAAAGAAACTCCTGTCTCACTCAATTATGATTCCAAGTATGAATGTTACATTGGTTTATGAACAGATTGTGTCTTACATGAATAATAGGTCTCTCATTTATTGCCACTTTCTCCTCACATCTTAGTTGCATGAAAAAAACCTCTCTGATCCTAATTTTAGCTGAATAACTCACTGTAATATATAATAATGACTAACTATAATATATAATAATAACTAACTATAATATAATGCTTTTATATGATAAAGTAAGTCTCCATCAAAGTTAAGGAATGCTCAGCCATTTTTATTATAAAAACAGACAGATAAACATTTATTTAACAATTCAGCTACAACATTAAAATAGATTATCTGGATGACATCAGTTAAAAACTTCTTTTTAATGTTTTCTTTCTTCAGTTCTCACATCTTTCTCTGCATGTTTTAATGGATTGTTTATTTTTTTCTTATTTAGCTTTAGTATAGATAATGGGTTTATATGCCGCCCAATCCCGGGGAAAACTCAGGGCGGCTTACAATTATGAATAAAATAAAATAACATACAGGGGGAGAACATAAAACAATACAAACAATTTAAAAACACAACATACATCCGATTTAATAGGGGGTTGACCTGATTTGAGTCAGCAACCCCAGGCCTGCCAGAACAACCAGGTTTTGGTGGCTTTTTGGAAGGCCGCAAGGGTGGGGAGGGTCCAGATCTCTGTTGGTAACTCTTTCCACAGAGCCGGAGCAGATGGATATTCTTGGGATGACAACAAGAGACAAATTACAATGCATATGTTATTATACAGTGAGATGAACTACATGACTTTAGATGTGATCTTATAATTACACCATTTGTGCGGTGACATCATAATACATATGTTGTCTTGTCAATGTTATGGTGGCTTGCTATGAATACAATTGTTTATGCAGCGGTGGCTCAGTGGCTAAGATGATGAGCTCATAAGTCAGAAAGGTTGGCAATTTGAATGTGGTTCGAATCCCTAGTGCCATGTAACGGATTGAGCTCCCATTACTTGTCCCAGCTTCTGCCAACCTAGCAGTTCGAAAGCATGTAAAAATGCAAGTAGAAAAATAGGAACCACCTTTGGTGGGAAGGTAACAGCGTTCCATGCACCTTCGGTGTTTAGTCATGCTCGCCATATGACCATGGAGACGTGTTTGGACAGTGCTGGCTCTTCGGCTTTGAAATGGAGATGAGCACTGCCCCCTAGAGTCAAGAATGACTAGCACATATTGCGAAGGGAACCTTTACATTACCTTTACCTAAGGGGAAAAAAACAGAAGAAAGCCTAGATTATTCTCAGTCACAGTCACGAAGTTTCCCCATTGCTGTTGGAGAAACCTTATTTAGTTGAACAGAGCAATTACCTATCTTTGGATTTTCAACATCAGCACAAAGAAGTAAGAGCTGGATTATGTGTTATACACTTCCTATGTTTATAAAGTGAAATAATAGGAGTATCTTCATTCAGCAGACTTTTCAATTGCACTATCTCTTCTTTTGTATATTGTTGAGCTCCTTGATGTGGCCTCATTGGTTTGAAATAAAAATGATAACACGCATATATAAAAACTGCTGAATGCTTTGCCTTGTTCTTTTCCCAACTGAGTGTCCTCCATAAAATGTGCAAATATTGAGGATATTTAATTATTCTGGCTCAGAATTCTGGTAACTTGAGTTCTAGTGTTCTTGGAAGGCCAAAAAGTGTCGACTCTTGTGGTGCAATAGAATCCAAAAATTTAGCATCTATCTCAGAAAAGATGTTCAAACTGTCACATAATTTCTTTGTACACATTGTACAATCTATCATGATGTGGACATAATTTATAGGCTGTTAGACAGTTGCCTTCTTTCATATGATGAATCATGTTACATCAGGAATAAGGAATCCATGTTCTTCCCCATTTCCCTGGTTATTACCGATGCTGGCTGAAGCTGATGAAACTGTAATCCAGCAACATTTATCAGTCAAAAATGTTTCCATTTTTAATTTATTCACTGAGACTAAACATAAAGTAACTAAATATAAAGTGACTTAAGTTTTCCTGAATTTATTGATACTTATTCCAGAATAAGGAGCAGTAGAAAAGTATAAAATAATATGTCAGAAATAATTTGATAGTTTTTACATAACCATTATGTAAATTATGTATATCTAAATAATACATTTTAAATATAAACATGTTTGATTACATGTTATAATAATGATCCTGCATGTAAAGAAGAAAGACAGATAAGTTCGATTAATTAATACATGGCCAACAATTCAATTGCTAAGTTTAAACTTGGCTATCTTCTTTAGTGACATAGTGAAATTTAAAAAATCAGAATTTGCTGCATTTTAGAAGAAAAATATTATTTTTCCCTTGCTTCATATGTAAATTTTAATTCAAATCATTGTGCAATTTTTTTTGTAAACATCAATTGCTCCTTTATTGGTATTGCGATGATTAAAAACAACAACCCAATTAATGCAAAATGCAATACAAATGTAAATTGTGCAATTTTTTTTGTAAACATCAATTGCTCCTTTATTGGTATTGCGATGATTAAAAACAACAACCCAATTAATGCAAAATGCAATACAAATGTAAATTGTGCAATTTTTTTTGTAAATTCAATTATATTATAATCACTCCTTGCCTATGCCTCTTTCAAAGATCCAAGACTATGTAATGCTTTTCAATGTTCTTGCAGAGACATCTGAATCTTTCCCCTTTTTTTCATAATGTGTTGTAGGTATGAAGATCCTGCAATGTGGTGATGGGTGTCACACCTCACCTTCATAGTTCTTTCCTGGTTTCCACTCCATGTGCCACTGGTAGAAGATCAGTTGGAAGTCCACCCACCAGTGCATGCAGTCATTGTCCTGAATTCTGTAGGTTTTTTCTCCCTTCATTATCCTTGTACGTATGTTTATTTAAATAAATTACTTGTGCACTATACATGGGAAGATTTTAATGCAGGAGAGTCACCCTAATGAGGAGTGATTTTTCAAGCTATTAAAATTTAATTTACAACTTCATTATTGTCTAAAATAGCATGTATAATAATTGTAGTACCCAACCTAATAATTGTATAAAAAGTAGCATTCATTTTACATATTTCGTAAATATGGGGCTCACTTTTAAGAATTGATTTCTACAACATTATTTATTTCATAACTATTGTTGCCTATGACACAACTGAAAAAAAATAAAATTATGTGGAAAGTGCATATTTCTCTAATCTGTGTACAGAATATTATTTATTGTCTTGACAAGTCTATTTATTGTATCATTTTTATGAGAAGGAAAGAATCTACTAATATTCCAGTGGAATATTCCAAGTAATTAAAAAATGCATATTAATATCCTTGCCATTCCATGTATTTGAAGATTATCTACAGGGAGGAGGAGTGGAAGAAATAAGAAAACAGACATACTATTTAAAGAAAACAGAAACAATTAATTTACAAAGATTATACATTACTGCAGAAACTTTGATTACTAAGTAGAACACAGTCTGTTACCAATAGGCTCAAACCCCTCTGCCAGCCAAGTTGTCCTGCCATAATCCAAATCATGGCATAGTGGCTGATAGTGCTACTGTGCTGTATTCACACATAATGCCATGCTCTGATTTTACAATTACAATTACAATGTTTTTGTGAATAAACAATCACTAGCTAAGATCACATAGCTGATTGAGACAAAACCAAATAAACTACATGATGCTATTTGTGTGTTCTAAATAAGGCCAATGACTTTCATCTTATCCCTGTTCTCCAAGATATATTTATCTCTCTGTTTTCCCCAGATGTACTAATGTCTGCCTACCTGCCTGCCCACCTCTCAAATTATGCCCTCATAATAAATATAAGGGGCAGAGTTAGGATAGCTGGGCTCTGTTCTACAAGGCATGGTTGTTGTATCACATTCTTCAAAGGTACTTTCATTAGGGACTCTTATCCTGAGGAATTTGTCTGCTTCCATAATTTGTTTGCGTATTTGAATCAATCCTGACTCCTGAAGCGTGCTTGGATTAGTCCTTGCAGTTTTCTTGGAAAGATTTCAGAAGAAAAACCACCTACTAACTGACTATCCCCATACATTTTATGTACTGTTAAACTAAATAAAATACCTAAATTTGCCCACCACCAGTAAAATCCTCCTGGTTTGGCCTGGTTCGGCTGAATTGGTAGGGGCTATTGTCCTTGGTTCTGTAAGCTGGTAGTTAAAAAAAAAGCTTCTGAAGATCGCATGGCTCAGCTGTGAGCCGTACAATTGTTGGAAGCTTTTTTCCTGCTTTTTAAAGCATTTTTTCCTGCCAGTTTGAGTGAATAGGCAGGAAAAAATGCTTTAAAAAGCGAGGGGGGAGAGCTAAACCAAAAATATGGTGGGGGAGGGGGCTGAGAAAGAAAGAAAGAAAAGAAAGAATGAAAGAAAGGGAAAAAGGAGAGTGAGGGAGGACTACAAACATGGAACTAGATATAGCTTCAGAGGATACCTTGAAAAGAGCACGGTAATCCAGGGCTGGAAGGGACCTGGAGGTAATCTAGTCCAACCCCCTGCTTCAGCAGGACATTGTTAAAGTGAGTTTCTGTCTTTTCACACATACCCCAGCCACATGACTACATAGTCATGCACACCCAGTCACATGACCCCCACCAAGCTAAGCCCACAGAACCAGTAGGGAAAAAATATCCATTGCCGCCATCATGTATAGAAAGCTGCCACATTCATGGTAAGGTTGCTTGTTTTGGATCAGAATTGGATCTTCAAGGTACTTGGACAGAAGACCATCAAGAAATCCTGCAAGTGTGGACTGAAGAGTAAAAAGCATTCCAGAAGAAGGAAATAGCAATTGCCTTTAGCATGCAAGAAGTCTAATATAACAGCAGTGTTTATTTGGACAAGTTAGCCAGTTACATTATTTAGTTATGATGGAATGAATGCTTTTCATGTGGAAAATTTAGAAAATAAGGTCTGTATTTGAAAGGGTGCAATGACAGATACTTAATAATGGAGTCCTGGTGAGAATAATTTAATTTGCCCCGCTCTATTTCTTCCTTGTAAGAAGATTGAGAACTAATCTTTGAGATGGCTGCACCACTGCTGGTAAGGCCCATAGAGATTGATGCTTAATTCCAGGCTTAATTAGGCGGAATGCCAGAAATGCATTGCAATGAAAGCTTCATTTTTTTTAAATGGGCATGATTTTTTACTATTTCTCATTGTGATACAAAGATCCTAAAAGTAGAGAAGGAAAAAATCAGGACATTTTCCTTATGTATTAAATTTCACAACTACAATTTGTTTAATAATGATTTTTAAATAAACCTCTGAGATGATAGATCTTTAATCGCTAAAACCATAGTTTGTAAATTATTGTGTCTGGATTCATATAACACACTGACCAAATCAATAAATCACCATGAACACAGACCCTTTCTGCCTCCAACAATGTGCAAATGCAGATAGAAAGGAGCAAATTGATTTCATGGATTTGTAGCAAACCATGGAACTGACAGCATAGTTCAGCAAAAGTGGGGCTTCTAACATGGAGTTATATGCACAGTGATAGGGAAGAGAATAGTGAAATGGAGGATGCTGTGCTCTGTCCTCTTATAAGCAAATTTGGTTGTTAAATGATCCCATATATCAAACTCATTCAGGTTAAAAAAAAAGCTTGAGTAGCAAATGGAGAATAACGAGCCTGTGCTCCATACTTATTATCAGTGTCATTAGGATATCTTGGCAACACCAATTTTGCTTCCTGGAGCAAAGATTGTCCAGCCCTCAGTTGTCTTTTATGTATCTCCTTTCTTACTGCAAAATTCCAAAGAGTTGCAAAACATACAGATGACTAAACAAATCAGAACAATGCAATACAGTAGAGATAGGCTTAGTTTAAGGACTATCATTTAGCATTGGCCACAATTTGGGCATTTGGATACTGACACACATAATGGTCAAGCATTGTCTGGTCACATGGTCACTATTTGAAACCTTCCTTGTCAGCTTCTGACAAGTGAAGTCAAAGGGGAAGCCAGCTGGAAGTAGCAAATGACAATAATTGGCATTGCGCCTAATGACCATACAGCATTTGCTTAACGGCAAGTGGAATTGCTATTGTTGGTTCGTATGTGCATGAGATGCTTACACTTTGGGAACAGATATTTTAAAAATGAAAATGCTGGTCTCAATTGGTGTCATTAAACAAGGACTAATGTTGATATAATAGACAGGTTTTGCTGATGCCCAGTGATGCAAATTACTCTGCTTTGAATGGCTAGATTAATTGACATTGAACATACAGCTTACAAATGTCAGGGTTAAGGTCTGGAAATGCAAATATAAACAACTTTACCATAAGAGAAGGCATGCATGACCAATTTCAAACTCAAAATGTTTCTTCTTTAATCACACAGATCTCATGAAACTAATATTCCAAAACAGCATGTGTTCAGACAACTTTAATTTTAGTTTAACGGGTGTGTGTTATCACTGTAACAATATGCTAAAATTTAGTTAAAAATTAATGTTAGAAAATAGTTCCAAGCAGGCCACCTGGGATAATAAAGGCACAGTTATTGCTTCTACCATTCTTTAATAAGAGTTATTAATTTTGCCATGAGTTAGTACATCGGGGGTTTTCCATTATAACACTGCTCCTCATAATTCCTCAAGGCTTTAGGCAGGATCCCAAATTAACACAATTTCCTATTATTCACAGAATATTAATCGTCATGGCAGACCACAGTTCTTCTTTTCAGACTGAGAACATCTGTTAAGTCAAGGGGTGACATCAGTCAGAAATGATGAGTCATCCTTCTGGATTTACACTTGGCTGGATGTTCTCATCTTTTATTTGCTCTCTTGCCTGGACTCATAACCAAATCTGGGAAATGAGAGAAACTTATGATTAAGGTTATTGCACAAACTGTGTGTTTGCTGCAGTGTGAATTTAATATAACTCTGCATTGAAATGAAGAATTGTATTTAAAATGGCATAAAACTCCAGCTGAGATAGTACTTTCCTATCTGGCTAGTCCAGAAGTACCATTTACATTTCTTCCTATGTCAGTGAAGGCTTATTTTGACATAGTGCCTCTATTCTCAGAATGGTTCAGAACTTTCGCAACATATGAATGTTTTTTTTAAGTATCAGCTGGGAAGAGTTATTAGCTAGAAACTACTTCTAAAAGTACTGAGATGATTGTCCTTTTTATACAGATAGTTGTTTTAACAAATTCTCTTTTTCCAGTAGCCCTCTTTACATTACTCAAGCACTTCAGCTATTCTATTGGAATTGTCTGTTCCTCCCAGCCTCTGCAATAGAAGAGAACCTTTTTTCATTAAGATTCTTGATTATGGGAGCCTCTCAGAGGTGGGTTCCTACCAGTTTGGACCAATTCGGCCATGTAGGTAGTAACTTGGCCTCCTATGCCCCTGAACTGGTTCTCTTGGCAGCGCCATCTTGTTTTTTGTTTTTAAAGTACTGCGCATGCGGGTGTGTGCACAGAAAATGCACGTGTACCACATCCCTGAGGAACCAGCAGTAGCAGCCACCAGAACTCACCCCTGAAGCCTCTCCATACTCTCATTCCCTATTGGAGGGAGCTCCCTCCAATATCTATCTCTGTCCCAGGGAACAGCAACCTTCTGTGTTGTGTTTTATTATATTGATGGCCAGCAATAACTAGGATAGCATCAGCCCCATAGCATTTTTCTTGTGGATTTTCATCTTCCTCATTCCTCAGATGGCCAGGTCCAGTTTGCTCTCTGATCTCCCTCTCCCAACACCTGAACGTCACAGGATCTCTTCTTAACCCGTACTACTATGTCACACCCTCCTTCCCTCTCTTCTGGATTCCTGATCTCCAAAGGTGACCACCTTGCTGGTGATTCTATCACTACCCAGGAGTCCTTGTTTCATCTCTAACTGGTTACTCAACCTCTCCTGAAAATTTATTTATTGTAAAGATTATGGACTGTATCTGAACTGCTTAAGGAAAGAGAAGGAGAAATAGCAAGCAAAGCCAGCAAGCAAGCAAGCAAGCAAGCAAGCAAGCAAGCAAGCAAGCAAGCAAGCAAGCAAGCAAGNAAGCAAGCAAGCAAGCAAGCAAGCAAGCAAGCAAGCAAGCAAGCAAGCAAGCAAGCAAGCAAGCAAGCA